TTTTTTTTTTTTTTTTTAAATCAAATTAAGCTTATTATTTTCTATTACCGAAATTTTTGTAAATAATGGGAGAATGTGATGGATCATGCCCTTTTGTATTAGTTGTAGAAATTGTTGAAATGTTCTGATAGAGAAAGAGAAAGAGAGGGAGAGAGAGGGAGAGAGAAAGAGAGGGAGAGAGAGAGATATTCTTGTCAACCTTTCTTTTATTCGATGAAAAGAATGAATGAGCGTGTAACGTATCGCAGCTGAACTGCACTGTGCAGCAATGTTTTAAAATGTCATCATTGAGAAGCCTTTGAAGAGAAGGACCGACCGGAAATGCCCTCTGTTCATTCAAACATCTGTCCAGAAGGTGTTTCCTTCCTTCCTTCCTTCCTTCCTTCTCCTTCTCCTTCTCTTCCTCCTTCTCCTCCTCCTCCTTCCATTTCCTTCCCATCCAACTGTTGCTCTTTTCTACCTGCAACAATGAGCCACTTCTCTCCTTTCTTCTCTTTTCCATTTGTAATTTGTCGTTTTGCAGGTTTATGCATATTTCGGTACAACTTTGGATAACACTATCCGTTTGTAGCACCGTAATTGACTCACCGTAAGCCACCTCTGATTACACTTCATTATTAGCATCCAACTGATATAATCCCGATTGTAGGATTAGGCATTCTGTTGAATATGTTAGATGCTACCGCTATCTCCTCTTTGACCACGTTTCTTTCTTTCCCAAGTCTTAACCTCATTTACCATATTCTTCACAGATATATTTAGCAATCGAAGATTTCAGATATCTTCATTATCATTTTCAAGGAGATAGGACGTTATCAGATACTAACCAATGAAATAACATTGGTTCTAAGATTTTTTTTTTTTTTAATCTACTCTCTATATGCTGGTCGATGAAGTAATACGCGTAAACCAGATGTTTAGTTAACGTGAAGAATTTTTGAGGAAATTTTTAAGGTGAAGAATTTTTGAGGAAATTTGAAATAATTTCTCATAGCTCTGTCACAGCTCATTCTTTTCAATGTTGTTGAATTTCCCAGCAAATAATCAATGTTGTAGGATGACATTCATGATAGTTTGCGATTTGATTTGCGAATAATGCATGAGAATCGTATCCAAAAATTATATCATTTTTACCTTCGATATTATTACATTCTATAAAAATTACACTAAAGATTTTATTTCAGATGATTCAGGCAATTAATTCGTATTTCTCAATTTAAATTTTATCTTTCATTGAGACAATTTGAAAAAGAAATAACTAATCAAAAAACTGAGCGACCAATGGCTACAACTGCTATCACCACCGGTATTTCTCTTTCTCTTTCTTTTTTTCTTTATTTTAGAGGACATTTATATCAATTTTCCATTTCGTATTCATTTTTCCTTCAATGATGCATAATTTTTGGTTTCATTACAAAAAAAAAAAAGAAAAAAGAAAAGAAAATCATCTTCGCGTTTCATCCATTTGAAAGTAGTAAATCTCGAAATTACAAATCTCTAATGCTCAATTAGTTATCCTGAAAGAATCAAAGATTAATAATGAAAACAAAATAAGAAAAAAAAAGAAGAGGAAAGATTCTACTAAGAGTTAAATGATCAGAACTACCTTATCAGATTATTAATTATACTTGGAAGAAAAGCAATTAAAAAGCGGGTAAAAAAAATGTACCAGGAAAGTGTATGGCACAGAGGAAGCGAAAATGCAGTAATGTGAGTGATAAATTGTTAAATGCTTCAGAAGGTGATACACCGCAGCTGCAACCCAACAACCGTCATTCCTTCCTTCCTTCCTCCCTTCCTTCCTTTCTTCCTTCCTTGTTTTAATAGCTTTCCGCTTAACTATCAAACTACTCAATTTCTACAACTCATTCATTCATTCATCTTAAACTGACCCATTTTACTTATCTTATCATCTCTTTACGGGCAATTAATCAATTGTCAAATGCGCTTCCTGAAAAGTTAAATTGATGTGTGATTATTTTAGGACAATTTTTTAATTTATCCAATTCATTCTTCCCACTCACCTACACCACCACTCAATACAGCCAATCAATGCTAGAAGTAAAGAAGTTAGAAATCAGATTTGTAAACAGCATTGTTTATTATAATATTGAAAATTTCAATTAAGCTTTTAATATTTGTATTAACTCTCCCTCTCCCTCTCTCTCTCTCTCTTTCTCTCTCTCTCTCTCTATCTCATTCACTCTTCCATTATCGCTCAATTATCCATGCAACCTTCAACCGTTTTTGCAACTTTCATTATTTATCATTTCAATTGGATGATAAAATTTCGTTTTTTTTTAGCCATATTAGGTGATAAAATGGTCATCTGAGATTTTGCGGTTTCGAAATGTTTCGTCCCTTTTTCGGATTAATTTTCATTTGAGTTGAAATGTATTAGTCACCGATCAATATATGGATATCATACCACATTCCGTATGATCTACTGATGGACCACCATTCTTGTGTGTAATTATATCACGATACAAAAAAAAAAAGAACATTGATCTAAATGTTCCGGATTATCTCGATGACCATCTAATTGTTCCGGTTGATCCCGGTGATATATCTGTTATCCATTATACCACTTCAATTAATCATTAATCTTACCTGTTTTATTCACCCATTTCTGATGATTGAAATACGTCATTTCCTCCATTCACAAATATCATCATTAACATAAATAGTTTTCTGAAATATATTTTCTTCAATTATAAATTTTCAATTGATTATTAAAAGTTTTCTCCATCCACACATTCCAAAATCATTGCCATTATCGTTTGCATCAACAATCATCAACTGTCACATCATCATAACCTGAATGATCATTGTTAGTATTATCGTGACAAATATACGTTCATCTTCCAACTATTCAATATGATCATTATCATCGTCATAATTGTTGTCAATCAGTTTCTTTATTATCTCTACCGACGACTTTAATAATCTTTTTATCTTTTCGTACATTTTCATTCCATTCTTTTTCAAAAAATTTCCGGAACAATTGCTTTTTTTTTCTTTCCAATCATATTAGTATTATTAATTGAATGAATTGAGAACATTTAAATGTGCACGCTTTTCAAACAAATGCATAATTATATTAATATCAAATGTATCTTAAAAAATTCTGAATATACGATAAATGATATGTTTGAAGCATAAGGCAATATTCATTAATTAATTTGATGAAATATTTATGCGTAACACGTCTATCGACATGAATAGATATTTTATCTAATTGCTCAGTTTTTTTTGTTTTGACTTATACGAATTAATTTTTAGATAGTTTTATAAATTTTTGTAGTATAAGATTTTAGGCAAATAGTGCAATAGTTATTTTATGCTGTAACATCAATGTTATACCTGTATGAAATACAGTATTAATTGTGTTGATCGATAAATACCGAAATTCGAGCTCACCCATAAAACAGGTTTTTTTTTTCTTACCAAAAAGCAGAGATTGCCTTATTCCTGTTCCATTAAAATTAAAGCAATTTTATTGAATTGGAATGTTGTATTTTGATGATTGAACAACCAACAATCATACATTCCACCTTGTTGTATAGATGGTAATTAAGAAAGAGAAAAAAGAAAGGATACCAGGCCTTTTTATGGTAAATATAGCAGCAGCAATTTTAGAAAAGAAATTCACAAATGGAATGAAGTGATGAATGTGACAAATGGCGCAGAATGTAATTTGTTTAGTAAACCTTTTTGAGGGTGGTTAAAAATTTTTATAGTCGAATCGATATTTGATATCTTTCTGTATAACATATCATAGCTCCATATGGTTAATGAATGAATATTGTTGTGAGAGATGCACCAAAGTGAACTATTGAACCAATCATTGAAAACAAACCCCAGAAGTTAATGGGAATCCAATCGACCGACGAACTCTAATGACAACATCATTATCATCACCATCACCATCACCATCACCATCACCATCACCATCACCATCACCATCACCATCACCATCATCATTATCATCATCAGTAGCAACAGCAACAGCAATGATAGTGTCAACCTATCATAAATGATAATATCAGCAATTCCCGCAAATTTCCGGT